TGAGGTGAGCATACTGTGGGTAGGCGCAAAGAGGTGCTGGGAAGTGTCGGCCAGCAAAAGAGCCAAAGGGGCGAATATTGGAGAGGCTATGACAAAGGAATGCTCGTATATGCCGTTTGTAATTAGGTAGTTTATCTGAATTCGACCGCTGCCAATGGGATAAATGCTTCGCTTGCTCCGTGAGCCCAGCTATGTGGTCAAGCGAGGGGCTAGGAAGAACTCGAGGCCTAAAAATTAATCGCTTAGCTTATCACGAGGAACCGTTTGCTTTGCCGAGATGCGCTAGATGTCTGTGATATTCGATCAAGAACTGGGTGCATCTCCACTTCGTACGCCTCCACGAGGGATGCTACACTGAATCATCGGGTATCGCATGATGTAGGCTGGCATTGTTGAGAGGCCAACAACCCGACCAGGGTCTGTGAAAGGATTGAGAACTTCGCCAAATATTGGACCAACCCAGATCGTAAGTGTGTGTAGCTGTGCCGATTTCCCGTGTCTGGGGTTGCGTTGTGCAACCCTCAACGTGATACTTGGTACATTGGGGTGGACTCGTTTAGGGTAAGAGCCACCAACCAACTTGGGAGTGCGCAACCGAAGGCTTATTGCTTCCAGAATCTAGATCACGGTGAGATTACGCGTAGATCCAGGGTTGAAATTGTAAGTCAAAGTAATTTTTCCGTCTGCTTCGCAATGTCTGGATGATGGATGCTTGGCAGGTAATTTCCCTTGGCATAGGCTCTAGGGTAGCTGTGATCGGGGGCTCAGAGAATCGGTCACCTGATTGGCTCCTTTGAGCGGGAGGCTGGAAACGAACTAGGGCTTTTCCTCCGTGCCGTTGGAGCGGCTGCATGGTGGCGGCCCACGGAGATATATTCTTCCTCCAATCAGCGGTGTTTTTGGTGGGTCCTTTGAACTTCTTCACACGCGAGATCACGAACCACTTCCATGGATTGAGTCAGGGCTCCGGGAAGTTCCATCAAAGCAGAGGCAAACCTTGAGACGGAGCGCGTCGCTGACCTGCTCATACGTGTGTTACGAGCATGACACTGAACAAACGGAGTAGTTGATCGGCGCTGGATATAGTCTGATTTTGGGAGCCAAGAGCTTATGTTCAGGCTATTTGCCATGTGGACAACTGCAGAGTTGTATGCATGTGGTGTGTCGATTAGATCCGCACTAAGTTGCCGACTGCAATTAATCTTCTCTGAGTCAGTTGTGTCTAGCCTGCTGGGTAAATCTGGACGTAGTTGGTCCCATCTGGGTAAGCTTTATATCCACGGGGTAAAGCGCGTAGAATTGGGGCATGGAGTCTGGAGTCTGGAGTATGGAGCCTGGAGTATGGAGACTCTTTTCCCCATCAATGAGGGGTCAAGTGTGAGAACTTGGCGAGCCTTGTCCCCAGCCTAGTTGCCGGGGCATGGCCAAACCGCTGCCCAAAACAGCCGCACATGTAGTCTCCATCAGATTGACAAGGGCCTGTCAAGCCAAAAGGCCTGGAGCTTCTTACTGTAACCCTCCGCCCGCCCTGATCATGCTATCCAAGTTTACCGGGGTCCCTAGTTCTTGACGGATGGAATTCGTCTGCCATCCGATAGGGACGTCCAATTTTCGCCGTCGAAATCCCGGACGTCTTTGCCAAATTTTACCAGCTCACCCGAGGCCAGCACATGTTCTGCCATGGGGTCGAATCGAATAGCCATGCCTGTCTAAAGTGCGGTGGAGGGGGTACTTTGCCCCGTAAAACCCCATCCATGCGGAGGAAACACCATGGTCCTGAAGATATAAGCTCCCTCTCCTCCCCCTTTCCCAATGCTACCACTCCTTCTCATTCCCTTTCCCCTCACGGAAATCTGGATACTTGCCTGTCTGCTCTAGTCTGAGACTTCCAAGGCTCGGAGAGTGATTTGTCTAGGCCGTCAACTCCTTTGAGATTCCTGCATTTTCTCTTTTCCACACCTAGCCGGATCTCCTTCTCTTTGAGACAATTGGCAAAATGCCGAGCTCAAAGAAGTTGTACAATTGGTGAGACTTTACGGCCGTTTCTGCGAAAGAATCTATACTGACGAATGCTTCGAAACAGGTACATCTCCGTCGTAGCTGCGCTGTGCATGGTGCTCTACGGATACGATGCCTCCGTCTTCAACAGTATCCAAGGTTCCGACAACTGGTTGGACTATGTCGACCTTGATGTCAACAAGAACTCCCAGATGCTTGGTTTGAGTATGCAGTCCTCTGCCTCCCATTGGACTGCCATCGACTGACTTTCTATCACGCAGTCAACACCGCCTACACAATTGGTGCCATTGTTTCCGGCTTCTTCATCGGAGGACCCTTGGCGGATGTCTTGGGCCGTCGCTGGGGAATGTGGTGCGGATGTTTCGTCACCATCATCGCCACTTTCATGCAGACATTCTTCCCCTACCGCAAGATTGGAGTCTTCATTGCCGGTCGTGTTATCATTGGTCTCGGCCAAGGTATGGCTTTGACTGCCGCCCCGGTTTATATCAATGAGGTCACCCCAGCCGAGATCCGAGGCGCCGTGATGACAATTTGGCAAATGAATTACTCCGTTGGTAGTTTTATTACCTACTGGGTCAACTTTGCTTGCTCCAAGAATAGGCAGAAGCTTGGCCACTGGGACTGGAAGATCGTCGTCCTCTTCCAAATCCTCGTCCCCGCCATTGTCTGCGTCCTAGTCCCTTTCATCCCAGAATCTCCACGTTGGCATATCAACAAGAACGGCAATGTCGAGGCTGCCAGAAAAGCACTCCAAAAGATCAGAGACACCGACGAAGAGGTTGAGGAGGAGCTCAAGGCTATCCGCAGTGCCATCGAGTATGAGAAGGAAGCCCTCAAGGGTTCTAGCTACTCTGCGCTGTTCCGAGACCCTTCAGTTCGCAAGAGACTTCTTCTCTGCTGTCTCCTCAACGTCGGTCAGCAGCTTACTGGTCAGGGCACCCTCAATTCTTACTCTACATCCATCTACAAAAAGGTCTGGAGTGATGTCAACAAGATCAACCTCATCAACGCCCTTAACGCCACCTTTGGAATTCTTTTTACCCTGAACGCAATGTGGACCTCCGATAGATACGGCCGTCGATGGCTCTTCATTGTCGGTGCCTGCGGTATGGCTACTTGCATGCTCATTGTCTCCGTGGTCGGTCTCACAACCCCCACCGACGCCAAGGGTGTCAAGTCCGAATCTGTTGGAATTGCCATTGTTTTCCTCCTGTTCTTATTTGCTTTCTTCTACAAGCCATCTTGGGGAGCCACAACGTGGGTCTACACCGCCGAAATCTTCAGTGCCAACGTTCGCGCCCAGGCTGTCGGAATGTGCTCCCAAACTCAAGTAAGTCGTCTCAACACCAACCAATTCGCGTGAATATAGCTAATTTGACGTCAAGAATGTGGCCAACGCCGTATTTCAGCAGTTCCTGCCTACTTTCCTTGCAAAAGAGGGTTTAAAGTGTTTATTCTTCTTCATGGCGATCAATATCGTCCTGGCGGCGTATGTGTACTTCTTTATCCCCGAAACCAAGCAGGTTCCGCTCGAAGAGATCGATACCCTATTTGGTGGGGCTTCCCACGCTACGGAGGGAGCGGACATCCTCGGAGATGCGCTAGAGAAAGAGCCTGTTCAGCACAAGGATGGCACGGAGGTTCATCAGACAGAAGACAAGAAGGCTTCAGTGTAATTCATGATGCGGATGGCGATGGGACTTGGATTGCCTATTCGGGTAATTGCATAACTAATGCGGCCGTGCGCCGTTATCGGGCCCACGCTCGGATAATCTACGGCTCCACTGATAAGGAACTACCATTGACCTCATGTTCTATCAAGATGCATGCGACTGTGACACTTCTTCCACCCGTAACTTGATAATGTCTAAAGAATGAGATCTACGCTAAAAAGAGGACAGCTAACAAGAAAGGAGCCAAATGTAGGGATCGCGCCAAAGTTACCATGCTTCGCCTCAAGCGACAGGTGAACTCTACAGTGGAAGCACACCCAGAAAACTACACACTAATGGTGGCCTACGGCCACCAAATGAAGGACCCTAATAATTTCCTGCCGTCGAACACTGAATTTTTGGCGTGATGATCGGTACAACTTGGCACCAGCCTACGCCGGGAACAAGAGGTGGTAAGGCTCACAACATTCATTCGCTCGCATGCGGAAGGGTCACCGAAGAAGTTGTCTATGTACGTGGATACTAAAGTAGGCTACCTGTCAATACCTTGTTGTTTTCCTGCTTGACAAGAAAGATGGTAGTTTTCGCCCTTGGTATTCTTTTCCGAAATTTGGGCTGTGGTCGGCAAGGATCCCGACAGCCTTATCCAGCGCCGTTGGGGTTCTTCTACCCCGACGTTGACCAGTACATTTTTTATGTTTTGTAGCTGCCCATTTGGCGTGAGCGGAAAATGTCTTTTTCCTCGGATGACGGTGCTGGTGTTGAGCTCGGTGTTGAGGCTTCACGGATGCTACGGGATGGGAGCTTGAAGCACCTAAAAAATAGTGTACTGCATGAGCATACTCTTTTGCCATGTTCACATTACACTACTTATTGTTGGTAAATATTTCGTCAAGCAAAACAATAATGTATTATTGTTCAAGTATGGCGCTTCTGCGACATGATGTTTGACCCATCGTGTTACTACCTATTTTGAACTAAGATATTGCTCTGCTTCTTGAATACCGATGGCCAACTAACACTCTTCTCTCGACACGTTCAACTGTAATTCTTTTTACTCAAACTTAACTTTTCATCGCCCCCTTCCCTCTACTCTTGATGGAGCAGCGCACAGGATTGTCTTCAAATGTCAAGGTATGAGCAGGACCAGACTCCAAGCAATACTAGCAATCAAATCAAAACCATATCGAATCGCTTTCCGCACCAAACATAAACTGTCGTACCACGAGTGACCCCCTTGGTCCGAGTAAGGCCGCATCATAAAGTCAAAGAATCACTATCAAAATCCATTTTGTAAAAGACCCCTTAGTTAAGCCCGCCTGGCCCTGGGGCGTGGCTCCCCCCGTTGCCACCACTACTGTCGACACCGGAAAACTGACTTGGGTCCATTGCCATGTAGTCAAGAAGATCCAGCCCTCCAACATTGACACCCTCGGCCGTCATCGACACGGCGTTGCCCTCCATATTCTGGAAGAATGCGGGTCCTGTGGGGAGATACCACATCTCATTGCCGGGGTTGTTCCAATCGTCAAACAAGGTCACATCCATGCCAGCCCCAGGCGCGGATGGGTTGCTGTTCTCCACGGGAGCAGGAGTCCCTGGTCCAAGCGATGCCCCGCCGGGGTACGGAAAGTTGCCGCTAGACAGATCAAATGGTGTGGCTGAAATATTGTTCCCTTCCATTCCGTGTGCTCCTGAGTTTAAACGTGGTTAGTGGATGAAACGACTGGTACAAAATCAGTGCATGGATTGACTTACTGTGTTCGTTCAGCCCTTGGCGGAGTGACTGGGCGTGTCTATCTACCCAGCCGCCATCTCCACTGGCTTGTTCTTGACCACCGTTTTGCACAATGGGGGGAGTCTCGTCAGATGCCTTCTGCATTGTGGGGGCTTGGATGAACCGGTTTCGTAGCCTGCTTGTTAGAGTCTCGAGAAGATCTGCAAATCTTATTCCCAGATGAACATCGTCGACGACACAGTTGCGCAGGCCTTCAACAGTAGCGTCCATCAAGTCAATGCTGATCTTCACATCCGAACGTGGCGCGCCCAAAGCAAACGTCTTCAGCAGGAACATAGCGCCGCTGATGATACGAAAGTAGGTTCGCACAGGTGCATGCTTGAGATGCCCACTGGGAAGGAGACCATCTACAACAGTCCGGAGAAGGTTTCGAGAGCCCTGGACTACCTCTCGTACATATTCTTGATCGTGAATGGTGAATCCTCCGAGCTGTCCCAGAGGAAGCTTGCCGTAGCTGAGTATAGTTTGAGGGGAGAGAGACGCGTTATGGGGCGCCGCTTGAGCCCCATTGACGACGCCGTTCGCATTTCCCGCATTATTTGTGCATCTCTCAACGACCGCCTGCAACGACAGGGAATTAATGTAGATGCGGACATATTCATACTCGATAGTTAAAATGTGTCGTAGAAACTGCGGCAGGCGGAATCGTTCAAACTCTTTGTACCAATCGCGTAGCAGAGGAGCAAACTCTCCCAACAAATCGACATACTTGCCTGACTGGATGATGGCTGTTGTGTGTTTCCGAGATCTGAACAGTTTCTCGTTGCCCATATGCATGGCATTGCTTATCCCGGCCCAGCAGTGAATGATTTGATCATCAAGCTCTAGGTCAGGCACGTAAATGAAGGCATTGGAAAAGGAGGAGGAGAGGGCAGTCCCCGGCGTGCTCTCATCGTTTGGGTATGGCCGACGGCGGGCCACGGCTGGATCAGCTTTTCTAAGGTGTTCAGGGGCCATGCTAGTCCAACCCAAACGGCCGGCCAGTTGAGACGTGTAGATGAGGAGCAGCCGTTTGATCCGGTTCGCGCGCTGCCTGTAAACCTCCTCCTGGTACTCTGGCCGCGTAATGGCATCGTCTTTGAGCAGTTCATCGATATCATCAAAAACACCTAATTCGTAACCCAGCCCCATGGCTGTACTAAGAAGCATCCAACACATACGATCACTTCTCCAAGCGGGCTCCAGCCAGCTCTCAAGACGCTTGCCGCCGAACCCTGCGCCACCGGGCTGCCTGCTGGGGTCATCATCAACGACAGCAGCGAGAAGGCTCTTCTCGTTCTCGAGTGGCAGCATTAGTTCGTCTGTGGCCTCTGTTGGGGGGAAATGGAGTGCACGAGGATGCCACTCGGTCAGAATCATCAAGGATTCGATCGTTCCCAACGTCCGCAAACTTCCCTTGCGCATGCCGCGCCAAGGAGCAGTACTACTCGTGCGATTGTCATCGAGTGATTCCACGCCGCCGGGCAAGCCCGATCCGCAGAATCCTCCGCCAAAGGCCTCTTGGCCCCACAGACAGCGCTCAATCATTCCTCTGAGATAGGTCCAGAGTTGTTCATGAATTGCATGAGAACGACAGTGACCGCCAGTGCCGGACATTTGTTTATATCTCGAAGCGATCGTAAGTAAAGTCACGGCAAGGATGGGCTCGTCAGTTAGTAGTGTACCATGAGACGCCAGATTGCTAAACGTTGGGGGTGATATTGGGGTCATGGGAGATAGATATTCATAGTAGCTGCACGGGGTGGTTAGTTGCACGTTGTCACTCAGATTATTGTAAATCATCATTATCACACGGGCCAAGACTCACTAGTCGATGTACTCGATTGCTTCCTGGGGAGTGAACCAACCCGCCCGAACAAAACGAAACCTAGACCAAGCGCGAACAGCCTCGATATACCCAGGAGGAGTGTTCGAATCTCGCTTGGGAAACTCATGTTCGATGGGGTTTTCGGATCTCGCCGCGGGGGTCGGGTTTCGAATCGTCGCGCTCCGGTCCGCTCGATCGTCGACCGTGGCCTGAGGTGGTAGCAAGCTTCCTATTGACGCCCGACTCTCTACGCGTCTATGTGCTACCGGCAGTGGGCTGCTGTTGTCAACATGCTGCCGTAGCGACTGCTGGTAAGTGACACTTCTGGGTGTTGCGACCAACCTATCAGTAGTGTTCGTCGCAGCCTTGTACAACAGGTCGAGGGCATCGTGCGGTCCATAAACCCCTTGTCGCATGACTGTCTGGGCATCCGGGTTCTCCATGTGCTGGTTGTCGTCTCCATCAGAGCCAAAGTCGCGGTCTCTGCGGCTTCGCTTCACCCCGTGTCGTGGTCCTTCGATTGTTCCGTCGGGGCGCCTCAGCGGCTCTCGTCGGCCTTGCGATCCTCCTGGCGTCAGAGGAACGTCGCTGTACATGTGACGCTCGATTCGGGGAGGAGGCGGGGGATCATCATGGGCGGGACCGCGCTTTCGGCCATTTCGAACAACGTACTCCTCACCATCGCTGAGGTCGCCGTCGTCGTTCTTGCGTTTTCTCCTAGTGGCACTGAAGTAACATTCCTTACTCTCGCGACGGCAGCGCACACACGGCGGATCGCTGGGGTTGTCGACGCTGCCCAGGTCGCAGCGCACCTTGCGGCGTCGGCAGGGGATGCACGCCTGGTACACACGCTTGTGCTGACCCTGCTGCGAACGGCTGTCCTGGCTCTCCTGATTGCCCACAGGAGTGCCTCTGGCGGTCCCGTACTGCGACATGCTTCGCTGCGCTGGCGGGGGTCGTATGATAGGCCCTTGTGGTGGTGGTTCGAGGAGGGTCAGACCCTTCGGTTTGCGGCGGTTGGGCGAGGTTAAAGCAATCAGAGCGCGCAGGCCGAGCGTGGGAGGACCTGGCCTGTCTGTAAAATAAAATGGGGGGAGAAAGCGGGGATTGTCGTTGCTAGCGCACCGCGACGGAGCAGCTAGAGCCCTCCAACGTTGCTCGTCAGGGCGCTGGGGAGCTAACTTTGATAGCGTCCAGCACAGGCAGCTCTAGCAGATGGATCGTAGCACGCACAAGGTCAAGGCAGAAAACAGCGATCCAATCTCTCAATCCAGACGATAAGTAAAATAATCGAGCGGATGGGGCTTCAGGATGTTGTGTTCAGATACTAACTAACTGCAGTTAGGCCTTTGTCTGACCGATCACACCTTCTGCATCTCCGCAAGATGCATGATTGGGGGAAGGCGCCTTGGGTCTATTGTACCTGCCATCTCAGTTTCCTGGATATTTTTTCTTTTGCGTCTGTAACACGGGTCACAACATCTCCATGCCATTGCATGAAATTGTCCGCGGCAAGTCAACGAACCCGAGTCAACCATAGGTACGGAACACAATCCGACGCCAGGATCTCTGCATATGAAACACCAATGGTTAGCTGCACAACAACAACGACAGAAAAACCGGCGTCCTGCCACATGGAATCCAGCGCTAGAGGGCATCAGCTCCCGAGCCAGCCGCGAGTTACTTGGTTGGCAACAAGGCGTTAGGCCGCATACCTTAGCATGCAGACAGGGCATCTCATCAAATCAGAGAGCTGTATGCAATACTTCACCTCTTTGAGTCTGTCCTGTGGGGCTACTTTTCGTGGTGATAAGCGGGCGTGCTGACAACCTCAACTGCGACATGGCGGGAGCAATAGTTCATGCGGCCTGGAGAACTCGAACACGATGTTTCTTTCGCAATGTGCCAGACAGCCAACATCAAACGGGACATGTCGTTGAATACCTTACCTTACCTACCGACTTAATTGCCTAATTGGGCTCATTTCGAGGCTCGGACAGGTCCAACTTTGGTTAGTAGGCAGATCCGGAGATCATGGGTATCGCCTTATGGTAGGTGGGTGATATTATCCTTGATCATTCCCTTTCTTCTGTTACTTCCTCGCAGCTTGTGGCTTAATTAGCTTTTACCCTACTAAACACCACAGTTGGGCCCCCAAACACCTCCGAGGCTGCCGCCACTCCGCTATCCCTTAATGTAAGCTCCAAGCCACTTGGCTAACCAATGATTCGTCTACCTGGCTTTGTACCTTGTCCTCGGAAGCCCCAGAATTACCCTGATCTGATGTCCAACACGTTGTTGATGTCATGAAACCCGGGGGGGGGACGCAGGTACTTTCATCAGTCATCACTCGCCACTTTATGCTTCCCTTCAACTGGCATGTGATAGAGATTATGCATAGAAGCATGCGAACACATTCATCTGACACACCGCATGTCGATAGCAGCGCAGGCACATAGAAGCAGGCACATCAAAGCGTGTATCCATTGGACCAAACGCATATATATTCTTCGAGTAGCATATGGCAAGGCTCGTACATTCCCAGATCGAGATGAGACCTGCAGAGCGCCCCACACTCCATCTCCAAATTGTCCGTCGCCAAGATTCGCAATCCCAGCCGGCCTCTCCATGTACTCCGGTACTTAGGCGGCTCAACACGTCACAGACGCATCACGAACGGTCTCCAGATACCAATCTACGGATTGGGCTGGTAGCCCCGATGCAGGTGGTTTCTGGCATTAACCGCCCAACCGTCACACTCGAGAACACGATATTCTGTGCCCCCCAACAATCGAGGGCCCTGGCGGTGATACCACGCGCTCTTCGCAAAAAGATTGATAGATAGGTAGATAGGTATGCTGGTAAAAAATAACAATGTTCCTGTGCAACAGATCCTTTCGATGCAAGCCCTCTTTTTCCTTTTGCATGGGGCAGTGGTCTAACAACCTCCGAGGCTCATCCAGTCTCTAGGGAATTGTAGGCCCTACTCCTATGCATCTCTCCTTCTGCTCCCAACAACTTGTACCCTCAGATCCGCATTATACATCGAGAGGTACGCCTTTGGCATTCGGTCGTAAATGCCTGGGAGAGGAGATATAGTCAATTTCGTGCCACATCTGTGCATACCGAGAGTCATCGAGGAGGTTCCCAAATCATTTATAAGTAGCACAAGCGGTTCGTTTGAAAGACCATTGAGACGACACGAATATCCCCCTCCTGCTTATCTCGAGATTCCCTATGACACGAGCCCTCGCTTAAGCTGAATTGGTTCCCCTTGTTAGCAACATATCCTGGGATGCCGCGGCGCAGAAAACTCACGAAGAAGTCCCACAGTTTCGATGTCAGTGTGTCGGGCATCGTGTACAGATCGATCGAGAATTCACCCGCTTGAAGCAAGTCAGTCACTAATTAGCCCGAATCAACATCAACAAAGGAGATATCCACCAGGACAACGCGCGGGGGACTCACCTTCGACGTCGCTCCTGATGTAGGTATCGGGCGCTTTCCCCTCGTTGATCATCTGGATCACCTTGAGCAGGTCCTCCTCCTCGAGTTTTTGCAGCGCATCTGCCACCTTTTCGTAGTCGTATTTCTGGGCAGCCTTCTTGCTGGCGAGCCCCTTCTTCTTCGGCCGGTCCTCGTCGTTGGGCAGCGGCCCGGTCTCTCGTAGGCGTTCCTGTAGGGCTTGGGAGGGGTTCTTGAATACCACAGTGTGAATGCTGGCGTACTCCTCCTTCTGGAAATTAAGGTCCTGGACGATGGGCGCAAGCTTCGTCTTTTCGGTCGTGTAAAGATCGATCCCGATCTCGAACTCTCCCCAACCCTCGTTGCTGCAGACGAATGGCGGCTTCACGAATGCTACGCGGAAAGGTAAGGTCAGTAATGGTCCGCTCGTGTGCGCGCTGGCGCGTACGTGAATGCGCAATCAGGAGGGAGCAACGGGAGAGACCAACTCTGTACGGGGTTCTCAAAGGTAGGGTGCAGGTTATAGACAACTTTAGTGAAAACATCTGCCGATCGTTCCGCCCCGTCCTCGTCGAGAAGGTACAGGCGCATACTCCATTCTCGCATTGGGAATCCCTCGATGGGCGGCTTGTCACTGGAGCACCAATCCGCGTCAGTACGTGAATACGATTGATCATGCCCGAAAACCTGGGCTCCAATCGCATGGGACTTACATGACATGTTGCTCTACGGCCACCTTGACTTTCCTCTGTAGAATGTAAGCACGGTCCCGATGACGCATTTTGGGTGGGCGCGAATGCTCGCGAAAGCGTGGGAGTCGCCAGTGAAGCTATCCGGAAGCCCGTGAGAGCTCCCAAGGCACAAGCGCGGAAAGTGGTGGATGGTGGAGAGAAATGAAGCAAGGTGGAAGAAAACGCAGTAATCAAGAAAACGATCGCTCTTGAGGCTCTGTAGTAGATAGACACTGGCAGAGGTGAGAAGGCGCGAGCTCAGAGCCTCAAAATTGGCGGCACGCACGCGCAGAGCTTCTACTGAGGCCCTCATGTCATGTTGGACACCCGCGGTGGCAGCTGCAGGCAGCCGTCGGTGAGCCGCTCACACTTGGTCATTGCAGCGAAATCGCGGACAGCGCCCGCATTGGTATAAACCAACGATGCTCCCAGGCCCAATCCATTAGACGGACACAAGGAGCCGCACGGAGGAGCAGACACGACAAGAGCGCACGGGGAGAACGGAAAGGGAGAGCGTGAGAGAGAGAGCAGGGGAACTTTACCTCGACCAACATGATGCTTGGTGTGAACGGGGGTGCGAGCCTCCGTCGTCTCTCCTGGGCAAGACAAGAAGGAAAAAATAAAAATTATTACAGCCGCGACGGACGCGACAAAAGCCTGGGAATCTGGAGATTTGACGGCACTTAGACAGGAAGAGAGAAGAGGGTTTAAAAAATCGGCCACGGAGGGGGGGCGCGCGAGACGAGAGTACAGTACGGTACGGGATGGGCTGGGCGCTGGGCTGGCAATAGCTGGCTGGGCCTTGTTGGAATGGCAGGTCCCTGAACGCTGAGCTTTCTGCAACCGATCGGGGGACCCAATAGCAAGGATGATGGACGGCCCTAAAAGCTTGCTTTTGTCGCTGAGCGTGCCTCGAGAGCAGGAATCAGTCAACGGGACACGAGCAGTCCCGACGCCTTATTCTTATATCTCCCTGCCTCGAGGTACTTGTCCCTGGCCTGGCGCGGCAGCCTTCTACCGCTGCCGCCACCCAAGTGTCGGGGTTTTCTCCTAACAAAAGCCAGCTGTTGGCCCTGCCGCGCACCAGCCACTGCGAATCTCATGTGGTTCCACCTCCCTTGCATGACGACGTCTCTGAGGTAGGCCCTCGGGCACCCCATAGATGCCTGCTTATGTTTTTAAAATTGTGAACAAAAGACGAGGCAAAGCGGCTGTGCCTGTGAAAAGGTACGCCTTGTCAGGTACGAACATACTGCCAGCGCCCAGCACATCCCAGTCTTGCCTCTGCCGCCTGTTGCTCCCCAACTTGCCCCAGCTCTAGTTTAACCACAAAGATTTTTTTCCCAATACGAGGCCGCCCACATCCCGTCGCATCATTACCTATGGTGATCTAAAATACAAAGACTGAGAAAACCGTCGTTGAATCCATACCAAGACAAGCCGACGGTCAGACCTCATTGATGCGAACCAGCCTAGCCTGAATTGTCGCCCCTACGCAGCACCGTTCTTGTGCACATCAGACATCCACTTTAGCACCAGTTATTGGCCGGGCAAACGTGTCACAAAAGGCAGAGCATGGTCATGTCGTAAGCAGGCTACGCAAGAATGGTTTAACTTTTTTTACTTCGTTGTAGGTGTGATCTGAAATTCAGCTAGCCTCGCGATGCTATTCCAGCCGTCAAGAAACTCATCTCTCATAGAGACAGGGCCGGCCACTACCGGACACCCATCCTGGACGC